AAAGCAGAACTTCATCAGCGTCAATGGTTTGTCGTCCTGAGGGTGCACTTCAGATTAATACTTCTCGACTGTAGCTTTTAGCCTCAGGAAGAGCTTATCTTTAATCTTAGAGGTATGTCATAGAGCCCGTGTCACCCACTTATGGCTGCTCCTAAACAGTGCATCGAAGGAGACTTCTGCAAGTTTTGAAGAGGAAAGACAACTTACGACCTAGCATACTCTGCAGGGTCTTTCTCCTTCTATTTTCTTTCCTTACTCATTTCTTTTTCTTCTTTGATTTAGGGGGAAGGACTTTCTAAATCCTTTGAAGTCTCATATCACGAATTCCCTGATAATCCCTAAATGAAAATCACTGTGACTAGGGTCAACCTTCTCAAAGCCGTGTGAAAGACAGAGCCTAACGCTTTGCCTACACATTGGCACTCCCAAGAGTCAATGAGCAAAGAGGATGCTCCTTGATCCCAGAGCTTTTAACCTTATGTCTATGCCCTGAATGAGTTTGCACAGTGGCCCAAGGTAACGAAAGAGTTTTGGTTAACAATTCAGTTCCTGCTTGCTTCTTCACAAAAGTGGCAAGTAATGTACAATTCTCGAAGGATTACCTGAGTCATTCTAGACCCGTCTGCATATACCCTGAAGTCCCGTACTATAAATGTTGTACTGCTGTGTCACCCTGTAGGTGAGAGTCCACCACCTGAGCGAACACTTCAACCAAGCCTGTGTCGGCTCCTCAAATTCTAGTTTGTTGGTCTTCTCAAAGTGAATATAAATATCAAAAGGCTTCACTCTTGCTTGGAAAAGGGCCGGGAGATAACGTGGTTGTTTGGCAGTTTATACTCTTTCTAACAATTTTATACTATGGATGGTTACCACCCACCAATTCTCACCACTCCCAGGAATAAGTCATTCCTGGAAGAAACTGGGGAACTGCCTTCTGCTAACGTTCATTTTCCTACTTTCTGTTCAATCTAATCTACCAAACAAGGAATTATAATTTAAAGTTGCTTTAAAAAAAAACAAAAACAGCCTGTGCTTTGAGGCCTCTTAGATGAACCATGAGGTTGAAGACTACTTTTTTTTTTTTTACTGATTCTTTTAGACTCCAATTTGAAAAATTTGTAACTACTATACCCAATATGAAGTCCTTTATGGGTTGAACCTCATTTCTACTTAGGAAAATGTATTTTTCAATTTTCCAACACTCTTATTCTGTTCTAGTATCAAGAAGATTAAAGCTGTGGCAACCACAGTTCCACTTCAGTGAGATCTAAACCCACCACACAGTTTCTTGTTAGAGAAAAAGACTGTTCATTGACTACAGTGTGGGAGAAATGTTGGACCTGATGCTCTGGACAAACACACTCCCAGGGAACAGAGGTCACTGAGCTTCAGAACTTAGGTTCCAAGGGAGAGTGAGGTAGGGGATGAGTACAGATGGAGAAAGGAGAGAGAAAGCCCAAACCAAAAGAAACCCTTTCCTGACCATAGACTGTCTTCTAGAAATCTGAGGACAGAGAAAATTAATATCTTTGGTTCAGATCTCTGATTCAGATCACTTGAAGTGAGTTAAGCACTTCAGAGATTCTGGGATGGCTAATAGCCACAGGGTGACCTGACCCTTCCAAGGGCACCCTATGGAACTAGGGCCCTACATGTTGGAAGAGATGGGCTATGGCTATCAGTGTATCATAAGTCTTCTCCTTCCAGAGAAAACAGGTATAAGCATTGGGGCATGAGCTATCAAGGCTCAAGACCTAAGAAGTGGTTGAAAGGGCAAAAACCTGGGGAAGGGAGTGTGAAGTGGACCAGATGAGTCATTCCTTAGTAGGCAGTTTAGTTAAGTGCACCTTCAGGTCTACAAAGACATTTCAGCACATTACAGTGCAGGGGTAAGAGCTTGGTCAAAGGTCACATGCCTATGCTACACAGATAATCCCCGTGCTCCCTGTCATCACGCTCACTGCAATGAGCTACAAATGGATAACCAGCATCCGTATCCCCCATCCACTCCAAATTCATAACAACAGCACATCCCACAGCCCTAGGCTGACTACTTCACCACAAGCAGCACTTTTTCTTGTAACATACACCGAAGTGTCAACCTGTCCAGGGCATAGCTACAAGAGGCAAGCAGGTCAAGTGTCCATGGGATGGCTGAATGGTCTTGGGCTCAGTATCTCATCCTCTAACCCATCCATCCCATAGTACTGAGTGGATTATTGCTGTTGACGGAGTTCTCTTGTATCCTAGATCTCAGAGTCAAAATAAAAGTTCAAGATATCCCTGGAGAGTGGGGGAGGAGTTGGCATTTTTCTCCCAGTTGGAGACTTGCAACCATGTAGAAGGAAAGATCAGAGTGACGATCTAAGGTTCAAAGAGTGGGCAACACACGGGAGGGCTTAGTACCCTGTAGTCAGAGGCTGGGCAGTTCTTGGCACCTCATCTTCTAGGATATGTGTTGGAACACCCTGAAGACTCACAAAAATTGCACAGGGAAGGAAAATGTCCATCTCCTTTCAAATGAGCTAGATAGCCTGGATGTCCTCATAGTTTCTTGGTTTATGGCCTCACTTCTAATCTGAAGATTGAGTGGGGGAAAGGTATAGAAGTGCCAGGGAAGATTCCAGAAGAAGCCAGGCAAGAATGTAAGGCAAACAGTAGTAGGCAGCCACATGCTAAAAGCAGAATGAAGATTCCCCACTCCAGCGTCCTTAAAAAAGCAAGGAATGCCTCTCGGTCAGTAGATAGCTGCTGGACTCCAGAGCCTGTGCAGTACAATGTTCTTTCAGCTGGACATGGGGTCCCCACCATTCTCTGGATTCAGTGGCTGGGACAGCAGCAGTCAGATGTTCAGCCAGTGAAGTGACTTCCAAGTGGGACAATCAGAGGAGCATCATAGGAAAGATATATAGGAGGTTGGCCAAGATGGCTGGCTTATGACGGGTCACTGTGAGATCAGTGTTCCCATGATTCACAGCAATATCCCCAAAGACAAGACTATCAGAGATCTGCAAAGTGCTATAGCTGACAGGGAGAGATGGGGGAGAAGGAGCCACTGAACCTGAGGAAGCTTCATATGTCCAGAGTGGCCTTCCACATTCCAAAAATGGTTCTCTTGGCTTCCAATCAAGAAGAAACAAAACAGAACAGAACAGAATCGAACTGGTTTATGGTTCATGTCCATTTCAAAGATGGGTCTCAGTTCATATCCAGAGTCAGGCCAAAGAGACCAACCAAGTCCTGTAGACAGCCAAGAGAGATGGCACCTGCTTTCTCTCTCTCTTCTTTGGG